AGATTTGCCTCAATGCTCAAGCCAAGGACCTGCGGATACACGAGAATCACCTTGGCAACCTGACACTGGCTCAGGCCCAACCCCTTGATCCACTCAACTGTTGGCTTCAGATTTGCCTCAATGCTCAAGCCAAGCACCTGCGGATGTACGAGAATCACCTTGGCAACCTGCGACTGGCTCAGGCCCAAGCCCTTGATCCACTCAACTGTTGGCTTGAGATTTGCATCAATGCTGTAGTCGGGCAGCTTCGGAAATCTTGCGATTGCTTTGGCAATCTGTGCTGTGGTCATCTGAATTTCATCGCGAAGAAACTCTTGAACCTCCAGGCCGCTCTTGTTTGACATGCCCGCCACCTCCGCTTCCAGGGCGAAGGTTGTGGCACCCCCATCGATTTGCGGTGGAAAGGCGTGCAGGCGCGATGCAAGCCTGCACTCCATCTGATTGCCACAACACTGCAGCAAAGAAGCCAGGAGTTGCTTTAAAGTGCTGTGGAGTGACGGCGCATGATCGAGATGCCAGCAATCGACCCGCACTTGCATGAACGTGTCCTTCCATGTCCGCTCCTTGTGCCCGATGCGGACGACCACAGATCCCACCGGAGCGAACTGCAGCAGAGCGTTTGTCTTGCGAATGTCCCCTGCCAAACCTCGGGGCTCCATGTGACGATAATAGCCGTCGTACTCGATGAAAAGTGCAGCGTCAGTTGCTTTCAGCACACCATATGCTGCGAAATCGGGGCACAGTCTGCTTGAACCCCACTCCTCGGATGGCTCGTATGGGAAATCGCGAAACACCTCACCAATAGGTACATCCGGCATGAGCAACACCGCCAGCTGCGAGAGGAGCTCGACCTCCGCCCTACTTCCGAAAACTTTCCTAGGCCGACCCTTCAGCCACCAGGCGGGCGGAGTCGATGATGACGGCAAAGCTGGTCCAACAGCGATGCAGAGAAGAACCAAGCACGAAAGGACTAGCCCGCCGAGGCCATATTGCCGTCTCGGAGATGGAGGCCGCATGGCCGCGTGATCGACTCCGGAGGAGGAAGTCAGTCAAGCATACTACTTGGAGGTTCATGGGACTTAGTAAGTAGGGATATAATTTATAAGTAAGGTAACTATGGTCATATCTACGTATAACCCTATTTAGGGTACTTATAACCCTACTTACTAAGTCCCCTGATCCTCTTAGTACCCTGGCTAACTGCTGCTGGGATGAACGGAACAACAGTGAATCGAAGTGGAACGACGTCGTCGACACATGAGATTTGCTGGCCTAGGCTCTACCTGGACCCTTGGGACCGTGATAATAATAATTAGAATAGGGTTTTGGGATCCATTATGCTATAATTAGAATAAGGGACAACCAAAAATAGTAGTGTTCATTATTTAGGCCTCTACATTAAAGGGTTGAGGGTACATATACCTTAACCCACCAGAACCTACTTTTTTGTAGGGTCCCTATAAATCCCATATTAGGGTTTATCAGAGGAACCTACAAAAAAGCGGGTTTTGGTAGGTTAAGGTACCATATAAGGATTCAGAGCAGATTTGTATAGGGCCCCAACTTTTACGGGTCATGTGGTCCTTGAGGAACCAGTTTGCAAAAACAACGTTTAACAAGACACTAGTCACTAGTTTTACACGGGAACTCCTTGAGGTGGCACATGGTGCGTAGTTAGCAGAGTATTGGAGACGGTTCCCAAACTCCGAACCCGCAAAACCCCCCCATGATCCAACACCCTAACCCTAAGGGGTAGTTAGCAGAGTATTGGAGACGGTTCCCAAACTCCGAACCCGCAAAACCCCCCCATGATCCAACACCCTAACCCTAAGGGTCCATGCACTCATATAGCATATACATGGGCCCTAAAGTACCTATATAGGGACTACATTAAGGCCAATGTATATACTATATGAGCACATGGACCCTTAGGGTAAGCAAGGCTCCCCAGGGCTTCCAACCACGGCGCCTCTTCGTTGTCGTCGTGGACGGCGCAGGCCTGTGCCCCGTGGGACTTGAGAGGTGTTTAGGGTTTATAGGGTTTAGGGTTTAGGGGGTGTAGAAAACGTCTGTAAAACGGAGCTTGAAGGTCTTCGGTTTCACAAGCCCTTAATGGGTCCAAGGTTTAGTATACTATACTTTTTGGGCCCCAAAGAACCTACCTTTTTAAAGGACTTGCATAAGGAACTCATGATCCCAAAGGGTCCAAGTTATAGTATAGTTTATAACTTTTGGGCCCAAATACCTACCTACAGTTATAGTATAGTATATACCTTTTGGGCACAAATACCTACAAAGTATAGCTACCATATTAACACTTGGACCCTTTTGGGAAGCTTACCTACAAAGTAGCTACCATATTAACACTTGGACCCTCTGCAAAGCTTACCTACAAAGTATAGCTACCGTATTAGTACTTGGACCCTTTTGGGAAGCTTTAGGGGTTTGCTGTACGGCAGGCTTTGTGCCCAGGCAGTGCTTCTGTGTTAAACCATGGAACGATATTATTTAGAGTTTAGGGTTTAGGGCGTCTCGCCGCGCAGCGGCAGTA